ATCTACTCAAGCAGGAGCTGTGAATGTAAGAGAACCTCCAAATTGTATACCCGCTCAATCCAGAGTCAAAGATGAAATATCATCTCCTACCAAACTGACTGGAACAGGCCATGGAAGAAAGAGAACCACTGTAACACAACGCTTCCCATTCCCCAGCCACTAAAGCCAGTCCAGGATTTAATATCTGCATTCTCTAAATCACTAAATGCACCATAATCTTTCTCCCATTCATATATTTCTCAGTGACCTGCTAGAGAACAAATATCCAGGCTGCAGAAATGTGCAGAAATAAATAATGCAGAAAATAGAAACCAATGACCTCACTTGTTTGGGGGCAATTTAGGAAAGATCAGTGTTTACAGACTTTGCAAATATGATCTCATGTCTACCCTACAATACAGGACATAGGATATTTATGTCTAAATATCAGATGAACAAGTGTATTATATACGGAGGAAACAGCCTGGACAAAGGTGAGAGAACTTCCTTCTTAGAGATTCTCTGTCAAAGATTCTCCTAGTATCAGAATTTCAAAATGCACACAGTCACTGATTCTCAAATGGCCTCCCCCAGCCTGGTGCCTAGCCGATTTTGCCCATCCCCGCTACTGTCTGGGGATGATGGGAGTAATGTTCAAATATATCTGGAGAATATTAGCTTGATAAAGACACAGCTAAAAGGTTTGGATCATCGGTTTTTCACTTGAAAACTTTTAAAAAGTTTATCAACTTAACTCTCACTACATAGTTCAGGCATTACTCAGTTTGTGCTTGGTCTAGATTTCCACTTCTAACTAAGGCAGTGAAAACGGAAGATTTGCAACAGGGTGGCTGAAACAAGAAAGGTCAAGCACCGCATCTGTTTAAAATTTCCAGGCTTTATTCTGATAAGCATTTCCTGATTCATTGTCAATTTAAGCTAAATTGGCACTAAAAACTATCATAAAGACAAATAACTTCCATCCTGTGTGGTTCACGTGAATGTGGCTAAAACATCCTATTCCTCCTAGTCCTTTGACGTTTTCAGGCAGGTAGAGGGAACTTGAAGGCAATGGAGATTTACTGCAAAAAGATATAGTATTATTGAAAATAGGCTAGATGGGAAAGGTATACCAGATCCACCCACTGTAGGAATTTTATGAATGTGTGCCTCTCATTCAGAAAATATTGTCTATAAAATGCTTGCAGTGGAGAAAATAAACTGCCTAATACTAATATAACAACAGGCAGGTTATTCTGTAGATAGACCTCTGTATTGCAAGGATCATAATATACTCACCGATGCAAATAAATTGGGTTCTGAATTTTCCATAAAAAGTGATTCTATATTCCCAGAGAATTTGCTGTTAAATTCAGTGGTTTCCTACTACCAATCCTCTCCCAATAGTATTACAGGTAGTCCTGAAGTTATGACCATAATTGTTGCTAAGTGAGAAATTTGTTAAGTGAATTTTGCCCCATTTTACGACTTTTCTTGCCACATTTGTTAAATGAACCACTGTTGCTGTTAAATTAGTAACATGGTTGTTAAGTGAATCTGGTTTTGCCATTGACTTTGCTTGTCAGAAGTTTGCAAAAGGTGATCATATAACCCCGAGATACCACAACCGTCATAAAGTGAATCAGTTGTCAAGCATCCGAATGCAAATCATGTGACTATAGGAATGCTGCAACGGTCATAAATGTGAAAAATGGTCATAAGTTACTTTTTTCAGCATTGCTGTAACTTCAGATGGTTACTAAGTAAACTGTTGTAAGTCGAGGACTACCCATATTTGATCAGAGGGTTTAGGGAATCTAAAATGATGCTACACAGTGTTAAAAAAAAAATCAAATTTATATGGTCGCCCATTTCGCAAAAAGCAACTCTGGGCGATTTACAACAGTCCAATAAAACAGTAAAACTACAGAACAGTCATTACCTAAAACCATTAAATAATTAAAAAAACATTTTAAAAAACTACAAAAGCAAAACTAAACCAAAAAAAGAAAATAATAGGCAGAAGAATATTAATAATAAGTGAGCCAGGTCATTAGTTCACTCATCCCCTGGGTCCCCAGGCTTGCTGGTTCAGGTAATTTTGGTAGTTTCCACTGACATTCATTCAGATAAGAATTTCCACTTTTTTCCCCTAAAAAAAAAAAAAAAAAAAGAGGCTAAAATCCTCCTATGCTTTAGGAAACCTACTGCATACACTGCCTGGACTGGCACTAGCAGAGTTTACTAATTTGTTATCCAACTGGAGGTGTCTGTAATGGAAAAACTATGTACAATATATGGAATGTGAGTTCTACCTCTTATCACTAATTGTGCCAACAGCCATCATCTGGCTCCTGATTAGTTTTATTAGTAGCCACTGTGGTTAGTTAGTTGGTTTTAAAGAACCATTTTACAATGAAACAGACTTCAGGCATTCTACAAAATTCAAATGGATTACATGCATTTGTGCAAATATAGCTCCGTTTTGTGCATGGAGGCGTTGACATATTAATACAGTCTTCTAATAACAGTGCCAATTTAAAAAAATCCACAGTTGGAAACAGAAGGTTAATACAAATGCCTTCAACTTTTATTTATTTTTTTAACATTTTATTAAGTTTTAAAGTAAAATACAAAATACAAAGCAAATAGTAGGACACAATAGGGAGGAAAAGGGGAGAATAAAGTGAGGGAAAGGAAAAAAAAGAGAGATTGACTTCCAACTTCCCCTGTTGCAGTAAAATAAAGCATTAACATGGAGCCTTGACCTTTTACTAGTAAAAACTAGCAATTTCTGTAACAACAAATCAATCTAATCAGTGAAATCTAAAAACAAAGTTTCATTTTTTTCTATCTCAAGCACAAAGTCCAGAAGCGGTCTCCATGTAAAAACGAAGGTATTTGTATTCTTTTCTTTAATCAAAACAGTTAATTTAGCCATCTCTGCCAGCTCCATCAACTTTTGTAGCCATTCAAAATGCCTTCAGCTTTTATGATTCTTTGTGGCAAATTACTAAAAAGCGCTGAAATATTTACTTCAACTACAATGCTATACTTCATGTAAAACCAGAAGGTGGGGGACATTTCTATTTATTTAAGAAAAAATATCAATAGACTCCCAGTAGGAAGCTTTTTATTGGCTTGGAGTTATGCAGATCAGGAATCTAATGGGGATACTTGGCTTGGCAATAATATGTGTAAAAAAGATCTTGTCATAGTAGCTGAATACAAACTGAATGATAATCAGCAGTGTGATATAACAGAAAAAAAAAGGAAAAGGCAATTTAGGCTGAATCAATAAGGTATAATTTTCAAATCACAGAAAACAATAGTTCTGTCTATCCTGGCCACACTTCATTTTAAATGGTGTGCCCAGTTCTGGCCTCATACATTAAGGATTCAGATGAATTGAAACAGGTTGCACGAAAGGCAATTGTACTTGAGGAGGGTTGGAATCAATGGCCTGAATGACCCTTCCCCTACAATTTCATGGATCCAAAGACATTCTAAAAATCTTTTCTTCAAGGGCACTTTGTATGATTTAAGTGGGACCTAAGGCTCTACTAAAGAGATAAAATATAATTAGCTGAATTAGATTTATTTTACTACAGACCTGTAGGAATGACTTGGTACCTTCGCATTCTTTCTCACCTTTTCTAAAATTAACTTCTTTTTGACCATCGGGCTATAATACTTTAAAAGACACTTGCTTTTAATTAAACCTTCCCCACATGTAATTCATTATAATTAATTTTTAATTTAATTAAATATTTCCTCTATTTTAAAGCTCTGTCCAATTTTGCTTACCGGATAGCCAACCTACTTCTAAATACAATGATCCACTGGCTTAAAACTTTGTCAGCGTTTGAAAAACAAGAATGCTTCGTAGCTCAAGGTAGCTGGCAGACATTTCTGGGTTTGGAAGCGAATAGGATTAGGTCTACAGAGTCATTGCACTGGAGGCATTTAGAGAATACTTGTGGATGCATTCAGCATTCAGCAAAGTATCCTAAAAGAAGGCAGGATTGAACCCATTTTTGCATGGTGTCAGGAAAATTACAGCATGCCTGGAGTCCCTTAGGAAAACTACAGCCTGCCTGGAATCACCGGGATATGAGAGCTTCCTTTTTCTCGGCCAGTAGCTCTGCATCCCTTTCCAGAGACCTACTGACTGTGTTCAGATACCATTGCTTTCCAGTGAAGCCAAGCCTTTCAGCTGTAGATGAGCAATCGCGTGCTTCTCTATGGTACAGATGAAATGGCTTTTCGTACGGAGCAGTTTAATATCTACAACATTCAGATGGATTATGGGTAATCCTCGACTTACAACCATTTGTTCAGTCGATGTTCAACGTTACAATGGCACTGAAAAAAGTGATTTATGACTGGGTTTCACATCTACAACCATTGCAGCATCCCCATGGTCACGTGACCAAAATTCAGGCACTTGACAACTGGCATGTATTTATGATGGCTGCAGTGATCCAGCGTCACATGATTATTTTTTGCGATTTTCTGACAAGCAAAGTCAATGTGGAAGCCAGATTCATTCAACAGCTGTGTTACTAAATTAACAACTGCAGTGATTCACTTAGCAAATGCGGCAAGAAAGATTGTAAAATGGGGAAAAATTCACACAACTGTCTTGCTTAGCAATGGAAACGCTGGGTTCAATTGTATTCGTAAGTACACCCCTAGTACACCCTAGATACAAAAGAAATCCACTTCGTCAATACCTTCTGACCAACTCATGAACATTTGGACAAAAGGGTCTTATCAGAAGCTAAAATCAGAGGCATTTAGGTCATGGTGTCAAACTTGCCACGTCACGTGAGGTGTTGTGACAGTATCACAACTTTTTTTGCATTGCCAGGAGCTGGGGTGGGGGCGGCCTCCATATGATGCAACCGGCCAGTGGGCTGGCAGTTTGACACCCCTGATTTAGGTTTTTTGCATAAAACCTAAATTTGCAAAAGTTTCCTCAATTGAAAGCAACAATGAACAGACATTAGCCTTCAAAATACCTTGTTGTAAATAACTTTATTAGCATCTTATTGTAAAATGTGTTACATATGTGCTTTATAAAAATGAACAGTTTTCCCTAGAGATTCCTCTATATACAATTTAAAATTTCATTTCTAGAGAATTTATGAGAAAGCTATTTTGGAATGTTTGGTTACATAAATTAATGATGACAGGTTTTTGTGTGTAAAACATTTATGAGAGCTAAAAAACTATGATAGAAAAACTTTTAAACATAAGTTTTAAAAAACGCTATTTTGCTGTTTACTGGGAACCATGTGTTCACATGTCACTTTTTATTAAAATATTTCTATTTCAGACCATGATATATTGCTGCTTCGGCAGCAAGTTACTTAATAAAGGGGTACATATGTTTGTTGTCTATGAAGGATGGGTCCTTGTGTGTTAAGTAACCCTCAAGTGGCATTTTGGTGAAAAGTTCATAAAGAGCAGCAGACAAGATTTTCTGTTTATAAAGATTTTTTTAAAAAAATAATAGTCTGCTTCATCTACGTCTTCATAGTTTATTGGCTTTGACTTAATATATATCAGATGGATTTATTTACAGCTTAGTGTAACATCCAGTAAGATAAAATAGTTCCTTAGGTTAAGTATAATGGATGAAATCAAACATTATATGAGCAGATTTCTATCCACGTGACATAGTGTCTGCTCTGGAGGTTAAGGGATCATAGGAGGAATGGGAATTGTCTAAAGTCCTAGCTCAGCTGACAGATTTTAATTAAATGAGCTAATCAATGCCTGTTGACGTGGTATTTTTTGCCTAGACCATGCTTTGGGTAAGACTGTGTGTAGATTTTAGAACTGCTGTTCCTTTCCCCATTTCAACATTATCCTTTTTTATTTTTGTTTTTACAATACATACATTTGGCTTTCAACCTGTTCAGCACTCACAAACCTGAAACACAACAGTATTAATTGTTCCATTTCTTAGATGTAACCCAAATTTTATGACATTAATTGATCCTTGATGCAGACTAAACCTTGTTTTGAAACAAGTAGTTTTCAAGAGGGCAGATCCTGTACTGGGTGATTGAATCTGGAGAGAGAAAAGAAGAATGCAATTTAGAATGGGCACTGAATCAATAGATCCATAACTTTTACAGGATAGTAGATTGTACTGATATTTAAAGTATTACTGCTTAATAACGTCATATCTGAAGCACCGGTTTCTGCTTTATTCAATCCAGAAAAGGTGGATTGCCTTTTTAAGTCTTCCTGCTGTTAAACCTGCTGGTTGAGCTTTCAACAGAACAGAAAACAAACAGTTTAAGATTTTAAATGTCTGGACGTTTCAATTTTAGCAGTTGGTTGAGAAAAAAAAAAAACATGCTCCAAACTGTTAACACAGGAATGTCACCAGTCTAAAGCAGCTTTATCTGGAGATCTTTCCATTAAGAAGGTGCTGCAATTTATCCTGTTAAGGATAAGAGACAAGACATTTACCCCACTGAGGCATTTTTTGTCAACTCACAGCCTCTTCTTAACCTTCTTTAGCACTTGCAAAAGCCAGAAGTAGCACTCCTTCTCACCCCAAAGATCTGAACATTCTTAATAACTAATACTGCTTTGCAGATGGTTTTGTCTTTCATTTGCAGATAAGGCAACATTTGGCATGGACGCTGCCTTTTTACCCTGTTTAAAATGAAAACACAAGACTAATGGTTAACTGAAAGTAGGGTTCCGTTCATCTTTTGTACTAGTGAGTTTGGCTTGCTTGCCAAAGGAGACCCCACATTCAGATAACTGCAATTATCCCAGTTTGAACATTCCCTTTTATCCATTGAGAAGTGAAAGTGCAAAAATTCATCATCCACTCATGAACTCCATGTACACACACACACACACACACACACACACACACACACACACACACACGGAGCTGGGCAGAGTAAGTAGCCACAGGGAAAGACACTCCCAATTCAGACACAATAATTAGGTCATGTAGTCGGTTTCCTGTAAAAGCAACTCAAGGCTCTTCTTGGCCATGTGTATAAGCAAACTTCAGTGGGGCATTTCATTTTGATAAGTTTGATCAAAATGCCCTTCAGGAGCAACATTCTCTTTTCAAGTGTGGTTTCACAGTAGCCATACTACTAGAATGCTAAAAGGGACTTCTATGCTCATGCAGAACATCATACTTTTCTAGGACTGTAACTCCTTGGTGACTTGGATAAACGTGACTAGAAACCAAATCTTCAGTGAGGGAAGCCATTGCAATCACTTGACAGTCAGTGACAGTGGAAGAGATGGCGCAGAATTTATATCTATTTCTGCTTCAGATCCTTTATGCTCTCTTCCTTCCTTCCTTCCTTCCTTCCTTCCTTCCTTCCTTCCTTCCTTCCTTCCTTCCTTCCTTCTTTCTCTTTCCCTGCATAGAGAGGCTTTTGCCATCTGTTTCTCATGCTTCCTTGAACCATAAGTTGAAGGCAGTTACATGTTTACATTCTCTACATTCCTGCTCTGAGAATCTCCCTGGGAATCTCCTGCACTAACGCAACCTTGACACAGAAGTCCTTTCCTCTCTCAGCGAAGTGGCCACTCAAACCAGCTTTGCTTCACTTGGACACTTTGCTCCAGGGCACAGAGATAGACCAATTTTCAAGTCGAGGCAATGTGTCAGATTTGAAGCATGGGAACCTCTGGGACTGTAATGATCCTACTTGTTTAGACTTAAAATCTATGGATGACATGGGAAATTCTAGAGTAAGTTTAAGTCGTACAAGGAAACAGACTGTAATTTGTCTGATCAAAGGAACAGGGAATAATGCTATAATAAAAAATATTATCTATATCTACATACAACTTAACTGTAATACACCTAGTATAAATGGACATAGACATATACTCAATAGGGTCCACCCAACACTTCCCTTCGTTATCTGCTAATATAGGCTTGAAATCTGCTGTAGGGAGATATAGAAAAAGGTGCAAAGGAAAGGCAATGTGAAGTTCAAGAAAAAAAAGAAGGGAAGGGAAAGCTACACTGCGCAATGATAGATTTGCTTCTGCAACAGTGGAAGCCATGAAATTTCTTGTGCATAGGAGAAACAGAGAATAGCCACAGGTTCTATATGCTAATGTTAATGTTGGTTAATGTTGTAGAGACCCATACATTGATTTGTGCAAACACAACCCTGAGATTAAGATAATTCCCATCCCTAGACTAAATAAATAAATAAATAAATAAATAAATAAATAAATAAATCTCAAACATACCCCTCACTTAAATGTAAGGATATCAAAGTTATATTTTAGAACACATAAAATTTATATTTTAGAAAGTAAAAATGTGATCTCTTACCTATAATCCATTTTTCTGATAAACATTGCATATCCACATACTTTCCAACTTTGCACTGTCCAATACAAATTTTAGCTTGACGGAGGGTTTTACATATTTTTCCTCCACAAAGCTGTACCAACTCACAGAGCTTCTGATAGGGGGGCTGACTTATACGAGATATGAACATTAGAGGTTGATTGGCAAAGAGTTTTTGATACCCTTTTTCTTTAAGAATATTGTGCTGAAATCGGGAAATCTGTTTGAAAAAGGGAAAAGAAATAAGTAAATGAATAAATACAATGTCATTAGAGCAGACATGTCAAACACAAGGCCCGGGGGCCGGATGCGGCCCATGTAGTAGTTTCATGTGGCCCATGAAGCCATCCTGGAAACAGTGAGGGAACGGCCCCCTCTACCTTGGCCCTGGCCCAGGCCAGCTGGGAGCCAATGTACAATTTTGTGGTGGCCATCTATGCTGAAACGCATTCAGTCTTAGCCCCATAAGCCCCCCCGCATGGCCTGAGAGGAACAGCGAGACTCCTCCAGTGGACTATGCCTTGGCACTTGCTCTGGTTCCAGCCCCTTCTGCCAGAGACCCTCAGATCCCACTCCTGCCCAGCCCCCACAGGCACCCTTGACGCAAATGATGTAGAGCTGGCCATACCCACCCAGTAGGCCACACCCATTCCATCCACACCCACACAGTAGGCTGCACCCACCCTGGCCACACCCACTTGGCCCCCTGAGGGCAACTGCAATGCTGATGCGGCCCTCAATGAAATTGAGTTTGACACCCCTGCATTAGAGGATGAAGCATTTGGTTTGGGGAACATATTGCTATATTTCACAAATTGCTTGCATACAAATTTTCTATCAGAATGCCTACTGCTTAAAATTTAGTGTAAAGTTATAATAAACTCTCAAACTTGACACACACAAAAAATCAATAATATAGACTGTAATGTTAAAAATAATATCAGAATGTTCTTGATATTCAGAAATTATTTCTTCTATATTTGTTTTATTATTTATCATATTGATAATAAAGCCAGAAATGAATTCCACTACAATAAGAGTTTAAATTAAGTTTTTTTTTTTTTAGTTTTTATGCCTTTATTTTTTTGTATGAACACAAATATAAAGAAAGAAAACATCTAGTTCCATAATAAAACATTGCAGACTCAACAGCCTTAATCTGAATCATACTATTACTGCATCAAACCATTTTCTGGGGTTGGAAAATATATTGAATCATAAACTAGCCAAGCAGGATGGGTTCACACAGAGTATAAAGCCACAAATAACCAAGATTTAAAACAACCAAGTTTCACAGTCACTAAGTCTTGAAATAGGTAGTTAAGCATATTGTCTAAGTAGAGCCATTTCTTAGATTTCTTCTAGCTGTAAAATAATTTGTATTCAGTTACTGCCGGTTTCTTGCTTTTTTGGGAATTTTTAAGCTGAAAGCAGGATTATATATTTCTTAACACAAGATAATGAAATGCACAATAACAGTTGAATTCCAGAAGGGTAGCCATCTCAAAGGGCAAACCTTTGTTATATTTATTCAGAAGAAAGCCCCTTGTATTCAGTAAACTTATATTTAGGTAAATGAGCAATGTGGCAGATAGGTATGTAAGAAATGGAATAAAAATCTGATGATTGCTAAGATCAAGTAATTTATTTTGATAGGACTGTTTGCACTTGCAAGCTTAAGCCATCAGATGTATGGACTTAACAGGCCAGATGAAGGAAGCTTTTACTACAAAAAGCATATTCAATGCCCATGATAATTAAGCAGAAATGAGATTGTATAAGAATAGGATGGCGAGATGAATAATATCTCCCAGAAAGGATGTTATGCCACTATAAATGGTTAGTTATGCATGATTACTTTCCCTCTTGACTCTTATTCATCCCTCATTAATATCAAGAGAGTGGTCTTTATTAAATCCACTAATTGATATAATGGCTGGGCAAAGGCATGTGCAAATTTAAGAATTAAATCCATTGAAATCAAGGGAGCTGATCAATGGATGGATTTCAAGAGGGTTAACTTGAAGGGATGAGTAACTGGTTTCCACCCAATTACTGTATAAAAAACTTGTGATAAAAATTCCCTCCATACAGGCAACTATGTGTTAAATAAAACTGTTCGTCCTGGTATGTCTATTTTCCTAGTCTAAGAATTTTGGGTTTTTTTCAGAGAGAAATTGGAATTATGTGAGCCCTACTCCAATCCTAGCCCTCTAAAAGGATACAAGTTTGTAGCATGGCCCACAAATTTCTCTTTTCTTATTTCAGGGGAAAAAAGATAATGGTATTAACATTTAAGGGACCTGGTGACCAGGAGGAGTAGCCTTCCAGAAGCCAAGCAGGTCTGGCCTCTAGTTGGGTGACATATGGGAGCCCTATGTGACATGGCCTTATGCTCTTGGATGGAAGAAAGGCAGGATATGAACCAGCAAAATGCCATCAGATTTCACAAAACAGGAAGTGAGTCAACTTTTTCAGGAGTCACAAGACTTGTTTACATTCAGTTATTGTGCAGGAAAGTAAAATAAGTTGGAATTTGATATAAACGGTGAATAATATCATAAGATATGTTGTACTTCTTTTCCAAAAAAGGCAAGTCATAAATCTTTATAGCTTTATCTTGGCATTCTATCCATCTAGCATATCGGCTAATGGACTGTATCTGAGAGAGGAGACACCCGGGTTCACATCAACATTTGACTGTTGAACAGTGCATGACTTTGGCTTCATCGTCTCTTAACCCAACACAGGGTTGTAGTGTTGGTTGTTCAGATAAAATGAAGAACACCTTGCCAAGTGCACTAATCTGTGCTTTTGGAGAAGAAACAAGTTATAAATGCAACATTAAAAAAATAAATACATCTGAAAAGCATGAAGTGGAGCAGACTTACATATCTATGATGACTATTTAAATCATAGAGTTAACTTAAGAGTTCTGCTCTTACTGATATTGCTAATTAGGACAATGGCCATCAATGCCCATGTAAAGAAAAGACAGGGTCTGAAAACAGAGTGGAGATATTCATGCAAATACAAGAGGAAGGAAAAAAAACCATGCTGTTCACTTCAGATTATGCAGGTAGAAGTAGTCCTCAACTTACAATCATTTAGTTAAATCGGCACTGGAAAAAGCGACTTACGACCATTTTTCACACTTATGATCGTTGCAGCATCAGTTTTGGGCTCAGTTGTGGTCGTAAGTTAAGGACTACCTGTATAATGAACAGATTGCCAATTTAAATTTGCAGCTGTTGTTTGGACATCAGAGTTTCCTTCCCCTCCAAGACAGCTGTGGATGGAGAAGGGAAAACGAAAAGTCTCCGAGTCTGGAAAAAAATTAGGGCCTTGGGAAAGGGTGGCCGGACTCTGTAACAAAGTCTTGTGAATCAAAAGAGAAGCTTCTATGGCCAATTAGGCCCCCAAGCTGCTTCGTCCCCATGCTGAGCCAAATATTCTAGCTCACATGTACAGTTTTTTAATCTTAAAAGTACCTCAGGATAAATATGAGACAAACTTCTCATATAACCCAAAATAGCTTATTTATTTTATTTTATTTTTACTAATCTCTCATGCCACCCATTTAGATTAACAAATAAAGTCCAAATGAAGACTAACAATCTCCATGGGATTTAAATCTAGCTTTACCATATCTAAAATTAATAATCAAATCCAATTTTAAAAAACTTTATACTAAAATTGTCCTGTTGTGGTTGATAGCGTGGAGCTCTAAAGTTTCTAATCTAAGCTGATTAGAACTGACAAACTCTGTTTATGTTCAGATCCAGCAGAGTCTGCATTTGTTAGAAAGAGCCTATGTTAAGCTTTAACTTGAATGTAATCCTGCTGTTTTACACATTTTTGAGAGGTATGGTTTAAAGAATTTATTGTACTCCTGTTTGTTCAACATTGTTCTTTAAAGCTTATAATTGCTGAGGCCATAACGAAAAGCCATTCTATGGTCACTGTGGTTCCTATTATATTAGAAATGAGCCTAAATTGACAAGAAAACTATATGAAAAAAGGCTGTTATTTTATAGGTTTACAACAATCAAAATCAGCCAGAATTGAAAAGTTCAAACTGATAGGTGGGCAGGAGCTGGGACAAGAACGGGAGCTCCCTCCATCATGTAGCGCTTGGGTCTTAAACCTGAACTGTCAGCTTCCCAACTGACAACTCAATGTCTTTAACTGCTGAGCCATTATACACACCCCATTTTTTTTCCATAAAAGTTCATAAAATTTGGCATTACTTCAGACATACATACTGACTCGAGAGTATGCTTGAACAAGAAACTAGAGCTCTCAAAGCTGATAGCACTGCAACATCCCATCCAAAACAGAGGATCAATATTTTAATGTACTGTACTTATAGTTTGTTTTTTGGAACTAAACCGTACAATAACACAGTGAAAGGCAACAGGGTCCATCCACAAACAGAAGAGGGCATGTGTTTCTGCTGTTTTCTACAGGTTCCCTGTTTTATGTTACTCAGTAACATAAGTTGAACGTTGAATATCCCACCCATCCACCTACCTTTAAGGCAGCAAACCAAGTACCTGATAAGTCCTTGGATTCTCTTTCTTTCCAGCTTCATTTATGCTTGTTAGCTGCCTCCTTTTTTAGTTTTCCCTTCCCCTCTCTTTTATGAAAGAGACAACATGGAGGGACTTCCAGTGCTTGATGACTAGCATCTCAACCCATGTCATCTTGTGGCTTGCCTCATCCCTTTGTAGGTATTTTCCATGAGCCATATTTTAAAGAGGCTAAATGTTTAATCTCAAAGAGTATAGATTAAGTCTTAGTGGCCACATTGAGATTTACATCTTAATAGACATATATAAGATCCGATCAGTAATTACGTGTCATCGAGTCAAGCTTGATACTAGCCATCACATAGAAAAATTTTCTCCTTTACAATCTATCCATGGCCTGGTTTCTCTTATCTTAATGTATTTCTCTCTCTCTCAGCTGATTATTTATGTACTGTATTTATTGTTAGATTTTTATTCCATTTTTCATTCAGGAGTTCAAGTGGCATACAAAACATTCTCTTTCTTCCAATTTTCCTCATCACCACCCTGGGCTGTAAGCTGGACTAGAGCAGAGAAGTGGACCAAAGTCATAGTAAACTTTCAAGGCTGAGAATGAACTTGAACCTGCTCTCCCCATTCCTAATCTAATACTTTGACCAATATAGAATAGAATAGAATAGAATAGAAT